ATATATATATATATATAATAGCTATCAGATATTTTCTCTTTTTAACTTTCTGTGATTATATGTCCCACAATTTAGAAAAAAAAAATCAAAAGATGCATCTCCTCTTTATTCTGAGGTCATGATTTGAGAAAATCTATTGAACCAAAGCTGATGGAAGTCCTGATTCACGTAAATCATGTTGACTTTAGACACTTTCAGGGGAGATTTTAAACAGGAAAGTTGTGAACTGTTTTCACACAAGTTTTAGATGACTCTCACCTACTTCCACACACAGTATTAGCTCAATATGGGTAATATTTACTGAATTATTGTCCCTTTCTGGGTTTGGTAGATCAGTTGTCTGCACATGACCATTTTGAGTCAGAGTGATTTCAAAGGTCAATACTTGGTAGATTTATAAGATTACTTAGCCTACTGAGAATTTCATTAAAACCCACTGAATGATTTATAAGAAGTTCTGCTTTCACAACAGATGAATGAACACAGACACACATACAGATCGCTGCAAAAACATTATCATCTGTCTTTTACCTCTCAGATTCAGAAGATGAGTTATGTAAAAAACTTTTTTTTGATATCCATCATGCCTCATTTGGCTGATTGCTGATAAATATACTTATATATGCACATATTTTCCCCGCATAATTGACAACAGAAGTAAGTTATTTTTTCTTCATAATGATCCACCTGCAGAGGCAGAAATAATTGCACTGCTTTACAAGTACACAAATTCACTGATTAAAACAAGAAAACTATTTTGATTTTACCTGTAAACTGTCTGCATGCATGCGTGTGACTTTCCATCACAATGTTGCATTACAAAACTTTTTGGTTCATGTTACCAATACCTAAACACCTTGTTAGGTTTACAAAAATGCTAACTGATCCAAGCAAAAGCCAAAATATTAAAAAAATTAAATTAAATTAAAAATCACTTTTTGTAAATCAAAGGAGGGCATTCAGTTGAACTTTTTATAGATTCATGATAGTCTCATAATAACATGCACAGAAGTGATGTTAATGACTTAATGACTAATATAATCTTTATGACTTTCAGACAGAACAGAAGGAAAGCCACAGGTGGCTGATTGTTAACTGGCTGCCTAATGGTTCAGTGGACTGGCTGCAGCAGCAGGATGCTGGGTGTGCTGCCTTCAAAAACTTACCAGAAATCTGACTCCTCTATTTAAAAGTTTACTCCGCCTCTGCAGGTACTAATATCTAAACCAATACCTGTCAAATTTAAACTGAAATTATTACTTTTATTGTTTTATTAAGATATACATATACTGTATATACAGTACACACATACATCACAAATATGTATGCCGGTTTCTTGCAGATCCTTGAAAATTTTAAAAGGCATTGAATTCATCAATCCAAAAATAAGGCCTTAAATAGCCTAAACATGTCTTAAATCAATCTTTCAGAGTCTTAAAATTTTTAATACATTGTAAAGATGATTGTAATTTGTCTCATTTTGTATCGTGGTACCTAATTTACATTTACCTGCTTCCAGGCATTAAAAATTATATAATAATAAAAAATAATCTTTAAAAAATAAGATGTTTAGAAGCAGAAAAATGTCTGAAATTACTGCATTTGGATTTAAATGTACTAAGCTGTGTGCAATATACTGTTCACTACTTTTTTTCAGGCTCTTACATCAAATTATTTTTATCTTATTTTTTATCATTTGCTCATTAGAAGAAGCAACAGGATGACACTAACATAAGCAGCAATGTAGAGACACAGCTGGAGAACATCTTGTTGTAAGGTGACAACTGTTCATCTATGATACAGTGTTACTGTCATACATGTTCCTCTAGATCTGATTGAGAAAATAAATTAATAAATAAATTTAAAAGTGTTAATGTTGGCCAAAAACACCATGTCTATTCATGTATTTATTCATCTCCCTTCACACCAATATGGGGTTTTATTGAAAAGAAAAAAGAAAAAAACAGGTTTTCTTTATTTCGAGAAAGGTTGCTTTTTTGGAAGCACAAGGTTTCTGCCCAACAACAGTGATGCTCAGAATTCCATTGTAGATGGGTACATATGTGTTTGGTATAAAGTTACTGCTTTTTCTTCACCGCTCATTTCCTGAATATTTACAACTGATGTCATTCAAAAAAAATTATAAATACAAAATCCCTGCTGCATCAATTTGAATGAAGTCTGTGGAAAACTTTCAGAAAGTCTGTGCATTTAAAAGGGACAGTTCAACAAAAAATGTTCTGTTTTATTCAGTTCCCTCGTGTGTTAAGGGCTCGACACACGGGCAGCGACAAACTACAGCGATTAACGGCTGTCTTCGCAGCCAGGGTGAAACCCGACAC